AAGCTCGCCCGGTGTGGATATGCACTCAGAGTAACATCACAAACATATTATTCACCTGAGTACATAACTCCAGCACAGAAAAAATTCATATTACAAGAACACATTGGTATTGAAGGAACCAGATACTGTTCCGAAATATCACTTACTCGAACCGTCCTGACCGCGTAGATCAGTTGGAAGAGCATTGGGCTAGTATTCCAAAGGTCGTAGGTTCGAATCCCACCGTGGCCGGGCATATTTTTCAAGCTCGCCCGGTGTGGATATGCACTCAGAGTAACATCACAAACATATTATTCACCTGAGTACACAACACCAGCACAGAAAAATTCATATTACAAGAACACATTGGTATTGAAGGAACTAGATACCGTTCCGAAATATCACTTACTCGAACCGTCCTGACCGCGTAGCTCAGTTGGAAGAGCATTGGGCTAGTATTCCAAAGGTCGTAGGTTCGAATCCCACCGTGGCGGGGCATATTTTTCAAGCTCGCCCGGTGTGGATATACACTCAGAGTAACACCACAAATATCATATTCACCTGAGTACACTACACCAACACAGAAAAAAAAATTCATATTACTAGAATACATTGGTATCGAAGGAACTAGATTCTGTTCCGAAATATCACTTACTCGAACTGTCCTGACCGCGTGGCTCAGTTGGAAGAGCATTGGGCTAGTATTCCAAAGGTCGTAGGTTCGAATCCCACCGTGGCCGGGCATATTTTTCAAGCTCGCCCGGTGTGGATATGCACTCAGAGTAACATCACAAACATATTATTCACCTGAGTACACAACACCAGCACAGAAAAAATTCATATTACAAGAACACATTGGTATTGAAGGAACTAGATACTGTTCCGAAATATCACTTACTCGAACCGTCCTGACCGCGTAGCTCAGTTGGAAGAGCATTGGGCTAGTATTCCAAAGGTCGTAGGTTCGAATCCCACCGTGGCCGGGCATATTTTTCAATTAAGCTCGCCCGGTGTGGATATGCACTCAGAGTAACATCACAAACATATTATTCACCTGAGTACATAACTCCAGCACAGAAAAAATTCATATTACAAGAACACATTGGTATTGAAGGAACCAGATACTGTTCCGAAATATCACTTACTCGAACCGTCCTGACCGCGTAGCTCAGTTGGAAGAGCATTGGGCTAGTATTCCAAAGGTCGTAGGTTCGAATCCCACCGTGGCCGGGCATATTTTTCAAGCTCGCCCGATGTGGATATGCACTCAGAGTAACATCGCAAACATATTATTCACCTGAGTACACAACACCACCACAGAAAAATTCAAATGTCTAAATTATTCATATTTTGTAATTACTCAATTCTTTTCAATGATCTATTGTATTGGTAGCCGTTGCCGTCCTAAAATCGTAAGGTCTCTAATATCACGCTCTTCGCATACGTGAAGAGACTGGGACTGGCCTTCATGTATGACTTCAGGTATCACAGCTTTCCAGTTATATCCATTTTCAATGATTCAGTGTAACCAACGAAGCTCTATATATGCAACGAACCAGACTATAGTGTGAAAAATGGTTAAAATAAGTAGGAAATTTAAGCAGGAATATTAAATTAATCCAAATAGGTTCTTTTTTGTTAACAAAGGAAATCTTAGCCTACATCAGACTCTAGAGTATATGAACTATAGAGTCTATGCATGATGTGCAAACATCTAATCAAATTCATAACAAATATATTTTATATATTATATCCTGTATATTTTTGTTATTTGTTCCATAACATTCTGTCAGTTATCATCTTTGCCATTGCAAGTTCTGTTGCATTTGAACGTTTGGTATTATGTTGTCTTTTGGGTTGCTGAATTACTGTTGTACGTGTATAAAGGTGGGTATTTATATCAGCGTTTTTACACAATCATGGATCAAACGAGGATGAGAGTGAGTGCATGAGAGCATGATGAGAGTAGTCACGCGACGTTGGTTAGCTGTGTATTTAATGCTTTCCCAACACTATCATGTATTCTGTTTAAGCGTAGTTTAAGTTAAAACATAGTTGGAACATTCATCAAACCTTTATTTTGTTAATCTAGAGTTTGAACTATTGATCCCCGCAACAACACGTCACTGCCAACTCTCATCGTCGTTTGGGTCTATTACCAAATGTCGAACCCACGCCCCATGAGGGGCATGGGTTCGACATTTGGTAACAGACCCATCAGAACTTGATATGACTCGAAATTCGCTAGTATTAACGTTTTACACAGTGGCTGTGCTTATATCTGACTCACGAAAATGACACGGGGTTATAACCTGCGCAACGGAATTCAACGACAAAACAAAAATATACAACTAGAGTGAGGCAATTAATTGCTAAACTGAGAAAATCCAATGTTTTTTAAAAACTGATTTCAAAAACTGCCAGGTAACGAAAAACCACGCATGTACACGCTGTCTTAAAACTATCATTAATGGTTCAGCTTTGGATTGAAGTTTCTCGAGAGATTAAATTTTGCAAGAAAGAGGCTCGATTTGAACTTAAAAGCATTGAAAGAGGTTCAAGCTTAAAGGATTAAGCTGCATGTTTTTAAAAGTGTAGTTTCAAACTGATTCACTCTATTTTTCGGTCTGTTCTCGTATTTTTGAAAGAACCGCCTCTATATTATATACAATCTTTGCGATTGTTTATACGAACATGCGCGATCTTTTTCGAACGAAGATAGATAGACAAAAATTAAGCCGCGGATTTAAATGATTTAATGAGATTCCGCTAATATAGCGCCAAGGAATTCGGCACAGGTTTCCCCAATTATGGCGACCCCAATTGCTGAACAATGTGAATATCAGCCTCGCGGGAACATACCCTGCGTACCTGATCAAATATTGAAAAATAAGTGACTGTGTGTTTGTAATTCGCGATAACAAAGTAATGAAAGTAGGAGATCGAAATTACGCTCCAGAAATCAGAATATCCGGCAGGGTATGTCGAGCAACAAGAAATACTGTTGTCTAGATTAATCTTGTTAGGAAAGGCATCAGCAGCAAACAGACCAAAGAAAATCTCCAAAAATAATGCGAGGCAACTGATGTTGACAATGCAGTCAGCACATTAACTTTAAATATATCAAACGTAAATTGCCTAAAAACAAATTGATTCAATTTTGTTTAAATTGGGAGGAAAATTGGATGAAAAATTAGCAAAAACGTGTCTTGCTTTGCCGGGTGCCCTCTCTAATGTTGCACATGTTTTGATATAATCTTGTAATGTAAGTGAATTGTTTCTATTTCAGGTGTTATCTTGCCTTATCCTAATCAAGGCTCGACACTTGCTTTGGAGATAATACTATTGTTTCTGTTTGCACTTATTGAGGCTGTTCGGTTGTTCTTCGGTAAGGCTTGATTGGATTTAGATTTGGACGTTTTCAAGTGATTATTCAACGTTAGAGAATGGTTTTCAAGCACAATTTAGTGTCACTTACGGTAGAAAGTACAAGTTCGATATTATTTAGAGTATCCAAACCACTTTTTTGTACACTAGCTATCTTGGTCACGCTTATCTGTTTAGCCTTTTATTGCATAGTGTTCGTGTTTGACTATGTGGATAACCCCGATATCATAGTACAGTCAACGAAGAGTGACAGAACGTTTCATCTAAGACAATTTAAATCACAAAAGTGACGAATCAAGAAATGTTTAGAATAAAACATGTGATGAAATTATGTATTCAGGTCTTACAGTATGACGTATCATCAAAGACATTCCGCCATTCTGGGTGGCAAAAATATTTTATTCCACCGACTACTGCACAGCTGTGGACCATTATAACTCTTCACAATGCTCAAAGAAAACCAACAGTCAGTGCCACAGTCTTCTTTTAACGCCATGTTTGCTTTTCATTAACTATTTTTAATTTGCCACCCAAAGTGGCGGAATTTAACGGTAAATATTTTGGCATGTTAATGGTAAATCTGTTGAAAAGTGTTCTGAAACGATAAACAGTATTTTTTTCCCTCGCGCTTCACGGTAAAATTTTAGTGTTTTCACGACTGACGGTAACCGAAATCAGGGCGCTATAAAACACGGGCGGTGAAACCAGGGCGCTATAAAACACGGGCGGTGAAACCAGGGCGCTATAAAACACGGGCGGTGAAACCAGGGCGCTATAAAACACGGGCGGTGAAACGGAGATAGCGCCCCTGATCTTTGTGTGATGCGCGTACCCCCCGTATACATTAATTTATAATGTCAATAAAAATGGAATTGGAATGTTTATGCAAAAAAGAGCTGAAAAAACCAAAGTAAAAAATGTTTTCTGCATTCCTAAACAACTTGATGGTTTGAAGACATTGTTGGATTCATTTTCTGTATATCTGATGAAGGAAAAAGGGCTTTAAAGATTCATCATGAGCGAAATAAAAATTTGAAAAGGATCGAGCTGATCGAATGTGGGCATATTCCAAATACGAAAATTTTGGTATGAAATGGGATATTTTACTTCATAATACGAAGGTAGGATAAACATTTTCACAGTATAAGAATATTCTGACATTGCTTGGCTACTATTTTTCAATAATCATATAGCCCAAAATTGACCATGCATGCATTTAAAACAACTACAATTTGAAAAAAAACAACAAAAAACTACTGAACAATTTGCTCGACAATTTGAAAACTTAAATAGATAACCGTTTTTGTGTTAACCAGCCGGCCTGCTCAGAATCCATTGAAAGTTCATTGTAAAATGTTTTTAACTAATTAATTTGATTTCTATTCTGCCGCCGACACTCCAAAAATATTCAGCGTGAATCTTTTTTCGTGCGACTGCAGTCGTTGACATTGCAGTGACAGTGTTACGGAAAACTATAAATGCTGCAAAATATCTCCAATTTATGAAAAAAGCACAAAAAAGCACCGTTCAATTTTACTTGAGATATAAAGCCAAATTAAATGTCTATAGTTTGGTGTGTTCAAATTTATCTCAACCTATCTCAACGAGGAGAAAACACTATTTTAAATACGTCCGCGCTTTGACAAAAAAGAAAAAATGTCGTCAAAATCGAAAATGCATGTCTTTTCCTCAACAATCGCTTTGTTCATTTTGCAAATGAAATAGATACCAATTTTAACTATATAAGCTGATACTAGATCCTTCACCAAACGTTTATAGTATGTATTTGAGG